AGGAACGTGTAGCTGTTACAGCTGACATAGAAGAGATGTTTATGCAAGTGAAGGTGCCAAAACATGATAGAGGCGCATTGAGATTTCTCTGGTGGCCAAAGGGTGACCCACTCAAGGATCCCGAGGAATATCAAATGACAGCTCACCCGTTTGGTGCAACTTCTTCACCGTTTTGTGCTAATTTTGCCTTGAACAGGGCTGCAAGAGAATTCGGTAGTGTTTATGGGCGTGCGGTGCTAAAAACCATAGAAGAAATCTTCTACGTTGATGACGGTCTTGCATCGTTTACGACATGCAATAAAGCCTTACGTTTTGCGAAGGAAATAATCGAACTATTGGGAAGAGGTGGTTGTAAACTGAGAAGGAGGTCATCTAACTGACCCGAACTTGCAGAATCCCTCTCGGAAGACAGCACAAGTACCAACCTGGTTCAACTGCCTCAATTTGATTCTAGTTGTCGGAGAGCTTTGGGCGTGCAGTGGGACACAACACGAGATGTTTCTACGTTCCAGTTCCAGCTACTAGATAAGCCGGTGACAAAAAGAGGTATATTATCCAGCGTCAGTTCGTGGTTTGACCGGCTAGGTCTGGTAGCCCCTCTATGCCCCCCAGTAAAGCAATTGCTGCAAACCTTGTGTAAATCCAAAATGGGTTGGGACCAACCTCTCAATGCTGTAGATGCCAGTATTTGGGAAAGCTTGGTACGCTTTGTTAGGTGTCTAGAAGTGATTAAGGTCCCAAGAAGTATTAGAAACAAAGATTGGGGAGGAGGGAGAACAGAGTTGCATGTTTTCTGTGATGCATCCGAGACAGGTTATGGGGCCGTCGCCTAAGCGTGGTGCGTTCCAGCAAGAAAACCGGCTTACAGCGTTTTGCTGTTCAGTAACTCTCGAGTGGCTCCTATCAAACCCGTAACCATACCACCACTGGAACTGTCTGCGGCAGTCCTCGAAGTCAAGATAGGAGAGTCGATGGAAAGGGCTTTATCGGAGATGATCAGTGAGGTGTGGTACTGGACGGATTCATCGATTGTCAAATATTATATCGAAAATACTTCAACACGTTTTAGTACATTCGTTGCCAATTGGTTAGAAATCATCCATCATTACTCCACGGTGTCCCAATGGCGTCACATACGGTCCGAACAAAATATCGCTGAGCGTACTTCGAGAGGTATATCCACGAGATTAGAACTAGAGACATGGTTAGAGGGGCCGATTTTCTTACAAAACTATGTTCCACAGGCTTTATCTCCATTATTGTACCCACCGGATAGCGTAGACATGAAGAAAATTGTAGTATGCGTGAACACAGCTGTTTTGTCGATAAAACTAGAACACCTTCTGCATCGTTACGCTCAATGGTCAAAACTTTTAAAGTCACTTGCATGGATTATTCATTTCATCTCTTACATTAGAATTATGTATTCGTCAAGAAACGAAAGTACCCTGAGCGTAGGAAACCTCACGGTAGAAGAAATCGACGCAGGTCGATGGAAGACTTTAAGAATGGTGCAAAATGAAACATTCGGTTATTCAGTATTACAGGCAAAACTTTAAGGAGCACGAAACGGAGATATGGTGCATTCTTTGAGGAAGCTTTGTCCAGTTACCATAAATGACTTGCTTTGTGTGGGTGGGCGACTTAGTTACGCAAACTACCCATCCCATTTCAAGCATCCGGTGATCCTACGCAATCGACATCATGTGACTGATCTTATCATTTGCCACTATCATAGCAGAGAAGAACATAGTGGTACGTCGCACATCTTGTCAGCGATCCGTGAAAAACTTTGGATTGTCAAGAGGATCAGTGCAGTGAAGCGAGTAATAGGCCAATGCGTAGTATGTCGGAAAATGGTAGCCTCTGCAGATCAGCAGATGATGGCTCCCCTACCGCTATGTAGGGTCCAAAAGGGTTAGTGCTGTTTTAACTCGGTAGGAGTTGATTATGTTGGACCTCTGTTTGTTTGCAAGGGTCGTGGTTCGGAAAAGAAATATGGCTGCGTATCTACCTGTTTGCAGACCGAGCCGTGCACTTAGAGATAGCGGGCAGTCTCAATACAGATTTGTTTTTCCTGTGTCTATTAAGATTCATCCGTAGAAGAGGAAGACCTTCAGAAATTTATAGTGATAACGGATCAAATTTCGTGAGAGACGTATCAGAACTAAAGGATACAATTAAACGCTGGGATGGACACAAGATTAACGACCGCCTTGCATGTGATGAGATAAAGTGGTTCTTTAACCCTTCTTCCTCAAATCATAAAGGGGCGTATGGGAGAGAATAATCCGCTCCGTGCGCAGGTTACTGCTTGTGTTGACGAAGGAGCAGTTAATGCATGAGGAAACGTTGTCAACTTGTTTTGTAGAAATCGAAGGGATATTGAATAGTCGGCCGCTAGTGCCGTGCTTATCGGATGATAAGAAAAGAAGGGCACTGTCTCCGAACAGTTTATTGTTGTTGACGGAGAACGATCAAAACCCAGGTCTCATAATGATGGAGAGTTATACAAGACGGTGGAGACAAGTCAATCATTTTGCTATTAACTTCTGGCGTCGATGGATGAGGGGTATATACCAACCCTGCAAGTGCGACAAAAGTGGCTTTCGAAGTATCGCAACTTCAAATCAGGCGACATCGTATTGATAGTATCTGAAACCACAACACGTGGAAAATGGCCCATGGGTATCATCAATGCTGTGGAGACAGACGGAGATGGACTAGTGCGAACGGATGTGGTGCATACAGGTGGCNNNGGCGGCAAGATAAGAAGAGATGTAAGTCGTCTGTGTTTATTAGAAGGAGCCGACTAGCACCCAGGTGATAAGCTAGGGGTATGCAGGCGTACTGCTGTAAGTCCTGTGAAATCCAATGTTTCGGGAGCGTAAGTAAGGAAGGGGAGCCAGAACAAGAGACTATCGAAGGTGAAATTGTCCATTCGGAGGAATTTTGGTGGCCGGCGTAACAGTAATAAGACCGAAAATTTCCTTGCATTTCCTTATCTTTCTTCGCCATTCTATCGTGCATTCTTTCCGACAGT